TCCTTCGGTACAATCGAACGACACGACTCCGACACTTATAATACCTCATCCGACAACCAACACGCACGATGATACTTCGACAGTATCTGAAAATAGACTTAAACAAACGCGTTCTGGGAGAAGAGTAAGATTTTCGGAACATTTGAACGACTATTGCACGTAAGACACTAGTTAAAATTTTGTTTCATCTCCATTTTCCATGGCATTATATACAATATTCAAAAAAATCAATTTTTATATGCTTATATTTATATAAATTTATTATTTGGCTAATGTGCATATTAAAATTTTTTTTAAAAAGACAAACAAAAAAAGCATTTATAAAAATTCGCTTTTATATTATTTGCACTTTTTCGCCTATTTTGTGTCTTATAGCGCTTACGAGTTTATTTCGACATGCACTTACGTATTCTTTTTTTTCCAGGAGGTCTGGAAAAGACGATAAGAAGAACGATGAGGTTTACGAGGAACCGAACTTTTCATTGTACATTATTTTTTTTATTATATTGTATTCCATGGTTTCTTATGGTAAGGAAACACGGCCAGGCGCTGCTGAAACTAGCAAGCTATCAGAAGAGTGTTTACCAACGACAAAACTCATTGGGTTTAAAGTTCTGGCTGGCCACGTCTTGGGGTCATCACTACCCCACTAGGGGGGAAGTGATCTGTAGCGGTAAATAAATTCCCAAAATAAATAGCTCTGTAGGTTTTCAACATTGGATGCTGACCACATGTTTTAATGAACTCACCTAGCCGAAGGCGCTCGGTTATACATCCGCACCAGATCACGTGTGGCAGCACCGTGCTCAGCAACCCCTGCAATCGCTAGTCAGATTAGATCAGACGATCCTCGATATATTAATAGCTTATCAAATATATCTTCTAACCTCCTCGCTTCTGTCTTTTGATTTCATTTGTTGGGCATGCTTCATATTAGGTGTTACTGGTTAAAGCATTTTCAAACTCCGAATGTCTGTGGCATCTTCAAAGCCATAGGGGTCTAACATAGCAGCCGACACCACAATCTTCATGGTTTAAATTATTACTTTTTTAGACCGTGTTACAACATGGTACTTAAAACCTACCTTTCTATCGACTCGTTTGTCGTTCTTAAGTTCACCATACTGTTGTTATTACTAGAAATTAAAGACATAATTACGTGTAAGTGATATCATGGGATGTATCATGGTTTTTCAGCTGTCCATGCCGAACAAAGCTTCCGCAAAGCTCAGCAAGTCATTTGAACATTCTGAACAAAACAAATTTACCGGTGAGTGATGTTGAATTTGTAACAGTAAATAATTACCCGAAATAAATAGTTCCGTAAGTCGCCGACATTAATAAAAACCTTCTCGGTTTTACTAGACACACCCTAGCTGAAGGCATTCAATCACGCATGCTCATCATATCAAAAGTGATTACTCCATGCTGCACTTTCCCTCCAACTACTAGCCACCACAGACCAAACGTCTCTAGACATATCGGTAGCTTTCCAAATACGTCTTTTAACCCCTTAGTTTCTGACTTCTGATTTGATCAGGCTGGTGTACTAAGATCACGAAAGTGTTATCCGTAAAGATATTGCCAAACTCCGAATAACTGTGGCATCTTTAAATGTAATTTCACTAAGTTTATACAAGCTTTCACAGCAACTCTTTTTCTCTGAGAAGCATTCACTTGTTCATGATCAGAGTACTGTAGTGACCTACTTTTATGGAAAGAACGCGATTGGTATAATGGAAACAATTATTATTATAACCAATGGTACCAGTGATTGTTTAGCTGTACCTGTATGTTTAAGTGCACTAAAAAAACACATTCTTCCGTTGACTGTAACGTTGCACGGACTCGTGTACGTTTAATAGTTCCGATTGTAAACTTTGGCACGATCACGGTATTATTTTGATATCACGAGATTGCCAAGAGATATATCTTATTACAACCGTCAACCGCCTTCTGGTTTTTGGTCTACGGAAGGATCCAGTAGATTTATGTTCACAGCATATTTATGCGTTCATCCAAATTAGAGTCTTATCTACGTTCATAAGATTTCAGCAATTATACTAAACTAAATATATCTGAGTGATTGATTTTCGGCGAGTATTAGCGGGATAATTGCACAAGAGTATACTAAAAATCTCATGAAACACATGGCTTATTTATGCTTGGTAAGCTTAAAATAAGTTCTATGGCTTGAACACTTGTTCCAGATGGCTTGCAGATCACAATTGATTGATCACTGGGTGGTGATCAATCTCATGCTTGTCTAGTCCTTATTAGTGCAGATCGAATGCTATCGATCATGTTGCAATGTGGCCACCAGTCTAGGTGACTCGACACTGCGGGCACTATGTATTGAGATTAGATGTTGGTTGGAGGTAGTCAACAGGAAACCCTGGACCCGGGTTTCGTGCTACTTGGCACTCGTCAGCAAGGTGTACCTGTAATCTTGAGGGAACTGGTGCTCCCTGGCGGATTCGATCTCGTGTCACCCAGCTTCACAGTCAGAGACGTTACCACTGAGCTATCCGAGCCGTGACTAACCTCCTGTAGGACTGAGATGTAATCACAATTGATTGATCACTGGGTGGTGATCAATCTCATGCTTGTCTAGTCCTTATTAGTGCAGATCGAATGCTATCGATCATGTTGCAATGTGGCCACCAGTCTAGGTGACTCGACACTGCGGGCACTACGTATTGAGATTAGATGTTGGTTGGAGGTAGTCAACAGGAAACCCTGGACCCGGGTTTCGTGCTACTTGGCACTCGTCAGCAAGGTGTACCTGTAATCTTGAGGGAACTGGTGCTCCCTGGCGGATTCGATCTCGTGTCACCTAGCTTCACAGTCAGAGACGTTACCACTGAGCTATCCGAGCCGTGACTAACCTCATGTAGGACTGAGACAAGCATGAGATTGATCACCACCCAGTGATCAATCTATTGTGATTACATCTCAGTCCTACAGGAGGTTAGTCACGGCTCGGATAGCTCAGTGGTAACGTCTCTGACTGTGAAGCTGGGTGACACGAGATCGAATCCGCCAGGGAGCACCAGTTCCCTCAAGATTACAGGTACACCTTGCTGACGAGTGCCAAGTAGCACGAAACCCGGGTCCAGGGTTTCCTGTTGACTACCTCCAACCAACATCTAATCTCAATACATAGTGCCCGCAGTGTCGAGTCACCTAGACTGGTGGCCACATTGCAACATGATCGATAGCATTCGATCTGCACTAATAAGGACTAGACAAGCATGAGATTGATCACCACCCAGTGATCAATCAATTGTGATTACATCTCAGTCCTACAGGAGGTTAGTCACGGCTCGGATAGCTCAGTGGGAACGTCTCTGACTGTGAAGCTGGGGGGCACGAGATCGAATCCGCCAGGGAGCACCAGTTCCCTCAAGATTACAGGTACACCTTGCTGACGAGTGCCAAGTAGCACGAAACCCGGGTCCAGGGTTTCCTGTTGACTACCTCCAACCAACATCTAATCTCAATACATAGTGCCCGCAGTGTCGAGTCACCTAGACTGGTGGCCACATTGCAACATGATCGATAGCATTCGATCTGCACTAATAAGGACTAGACAAGCATGAGATTGATCACCACCCAGTGATCAATCAATTGTGATTACATCTCAGTCCTACAGGAGGTTAGTCACGGCTCGGATAGCTCAGTGGTAACGTCTCTGACTGTGAAGCTGGGTGACACGAGATCGAATCCGCCAGGGAGCACCAGTTCCCTCAAGATTACAGGTACACCTTGCTGACGAGTGCCAAGTAGCACGAAACCCGGGTCCAGGGTTTCCTGTTGACTACCTCCAACCAACATCTAATCTCAATACATAGTGCCCGCAGTGTCGAGTCACCTAGACTGGTGGCCACATTGCAACATGATCGATAGCATTCGATCTGCACTAATAAGGACTAGACAAGCATGAGATTGATCACCACCCAGTGATCAATCAATTGTGATTACATCTCAGTCCTACAGGAGGTTAGTCACGGCTCGGGTAGCTCAGTGGGAACGTCTCTGACTGTGAAGCTGGGGGACACGAGATCGAATCCGCCAGGGAGCACCAGTTCCCTCAAGATTACAGGTACACCTTGCTGACGAGTGCCAAGTAGCACGAAACCCGGGTCCAGGGTTTCCTGTTGACTACCTCCAACTAACATCTAATGGCTTGCAGGTCGTCAGCGTAAGTGCTCTTTGTTAATGAGCGGGCACTTACTCGGATTGAACGGGTATGGCTTGACTAGCCAGTTTACGTCAAAATCACACATTACGATTAAAACCTGACGTGCGCTACCCTGTCGTCGTATCCAGGTACAATGGCTACTTTGAAGACTGTACAACACAAACTACGTAGTTACAGAAATATATTAGTGTGAGTACGTGAAATCAACACAGTGAGACCGATTTCTCATGGGTCAGTCAGGAGCTTGGAACTGATTGATGCTCGTTGGCTGTCCCTGACAACAACTAGGACCGATAGACTGCTTGATATTCAGTGATCTAAATCCCCAATGGTTTGGCTAAGGTCGTGACATTTTACTGGCCCTACAGACTTGAAGTATTTGCGAGGTTCATCATCACTGAAGTTGAATGCAAAGTTTCTGTTAAAACGTTAAAGGGTTTGCAATAATTTATAAATGAAGGCGAACTCCCTCTTCTGTTTATGATATTTAAAAGCATAAGTTGGTGATCCTATTCTGGAACAATTTTTTCTATGGCTGTCTTACAATTTATTCATATATCTTCATTTAAATACGTATGATTTCCACTGTTTCCAAGTCACTTCTTCAAATACACTTCTTTTTCCAGCTTCAGCTTCAACAGTATTCATGTGCCGAGATAAGCCCTTTATCAGACTAGGTCCATATATTTGTTGAGGCGACAGGGACAAATGATCTAATGAAATGATAACGAAATGAAGTACATTTTAAGAATACTGTAAATCAATCACTTTTTGATCTTCTAATCATCTTCTGGGTAGATAATAAAACAATACAACACCGAAACCCTATTCTAAACAATTTTGTTATCAGAGTTTTATTTTAAAAGGATTTATTTGTGAAACAATTTTCATTATTAAATGTAAAGTTTATTAATATATATGTATATTGGAGTATAAGCAACAAAATGAATTCATTAAGGTATACTTGTTAAAATGATCTGTTTTCCAGTTCGTAGGATGATTACATAGTTTGAAAAGAATGAAGTTAATGTGCGTTAGACAAATAAAGCTATTTTAGATTAAACAATTTTCTATATAAATAAGGTGTTCGTCTAGAGAAACATTTTAACCATATTATGTATAATTAAGCAATATGCAATGATTTCATTGTTATATGTGTAAATATATTTAGTGAATATATATTTTGATGATGAACAAGTATTTCCTACGTAAAAATTGATATAAAGAAACAGTGTCATGAGACAAAAATAATAGTAAATAACGTTTAATGGACAGAAAAACTTCATGTAAGATTCATTTTAACTGTGATAATTTCTTTCACCTTTACACTGTTAAAAGAATGATTGATTCTATTCGCTAATGATTATAACGAGGTATGAATGATAATTATTATGATAATTATAAATGCATTATTTGTACTTTCATAACACTTTAACAAAAACAGCTTTGTTTTAATACACCATAACTTCACATAACAAAGCTGCAAACTCTTGTGACCACCTTCCACGAACTCCACGAGCTTCAACATAAACATAACGACCGATTAACGGTTGTCTGCAAGGTATGTGTAAACGTGGACTGAATATAGCATCATTAATTCTAGTAACAAAACCACATAGACTAGAACTTGATCTAGATAATGCTTTAGTATCATGGTGACGTGGCTCTGACTCGACATAGATAGATAATCTTTCTAAATTTTCTGAATTGAATTTTGTTTTGTCATCACTGCCAAATAAAGAAGACAGAAGATATCTTCCATCTAAAAAATATACAAGAATATTTTTTATAGTAGGACTTCTAAATACGAAATGACTAAAAATGATTTCACGAAAATGATATTTGTAAATCTGTTTTCTTACAGATTTTATCAGTTATGAGGTCAATGTTTTTGTGCACACTGGCATAAGTTGGTGAACTAGCTTATTGATCTAAAATTACTATCCTATAAATACGACCTAAAGTTTCTGGAGTCAAATGTTGATGAAAACTACCTCATAAAAGAAACCCTATAGCATTTGTTTATGGTATTCATGGATCAATAATCATATTCACGACGATACGAAATGAAATAGAGATGATAATTAAAAGAAATTTAAAAGCATGAATAAATTTGACTTGGTACATCTGAGAAGAAATAAAATATAGATGTGTATATATCCCAATCAAAAATGAACAACTTGATGTAAACTGAGCACCCAGTTTTTTATGACTTTACTTTGCTTGATTGCTTGATCAAGTCTAAATATAGCTCATGTTATTTTGGTAAGTTAGTGGGATAGTTAATTAGCTTGTTATAAGAAGATATTATTTATCTTGAGGCTGATATACTGAGTCACATAGTTTATTTGTTTATTGATCTGTTCTTGAGTCAAATAGATTATATTACTTGTGTGTAAATGCATTGTTGTAGTACAGTCATAAACTATAGGAAAAATCATTTGATTTCGAGAGCAAATTGTACATTTGTAACTTATGATATCGGGAAATCATGAGAATGTCAATCTATATCTTTATCGAAACCTTGGAATGCATTGAACAAGAGATATTTGGTGGAACGATTGTCCTTAATAACTCACATTTCAGATTTTACGACAAAAATACATACGTTTTACATCAGTTAGTTGTTGCTTTGTAGTTAAATATATCTTTCTAAACGGAAAAATAATAAATTCACTGTACATTGTAGTTTGGTTACAAAAGAATTATAGAATCATGAACGCAAACGAACACATGTATGAGTTTCTGTAAGCTTTAGAATAGAAAAAAAAAATAAAGTAATTAATCATAATTCATAGGATAAGAATCACAGGAAGACAGTAGGAACAAAAGAAATGTTATTTGGTGTTCACTGGTAACATATATTGAAAATATATCGCTACTAAATTGAAAAAAAGAGAGTAAAAAGCATAAACGTGAAGATGAATTATGATGATACCAAAATAATAACCACTTTAAAGTATTCAGTTTAACAAAATGAACTAGCCTCACTATTATTTTAGGTGAACACAATCGACTGATAAACTGCATTTATTCAAGTTGGCCCCTGAAGTGTAGAGCGTACATCGTAAGTTGAATACTGGATCTTTCAGTGAACTATTATGAAATAAAAATAATTCTTATATTTTATTATAATGTTTGTCGTATGCTAGCTAAGAAAGTAAGATGTTGTTTATATGATCAAATACAGTTACTTTCATCGGCTCTTAGGTATAATACCTTGTGGGTACTGCCTATGTGTACTAACATAAGAATAGGTATAGTTCGTGTTCTACACGTGATTTCATAAAATTTCTCATTTTGTGCTAAACCAAATTACTCTGAACTTTCCGTTCAGCTGCATCGTGCTATATCATTATTAGGACTAAGTTTTAATCGTCCTTCGTTGGCATGTTAACTCATTGTGCTTATTGGCACGATTTGGGCTATCTGAACTCAGTAGGTCAGTGAATGAATGACGGATAAGAAAAAGGTATTGAATTTAAATTATGCTCAACAGTTAAATTGATAAGCATACGAACTTTTAACTTAATCAAAATGTATATTTCAATAAAGAAATTACCAATAAAACTATTCATTATCCATAATCATATGATACGTGATTAAATAAGAATAAACACTAACCTCTACCATGACCTGCTGTATAAATAACAACTCCTTTTACTTCAATATGCTCCCTAAGGTCTACGTACCATGAAGGTAATTCAACAAAGGGCCAACGATATTCAAGTATAGTGCATGGATGGGCGGACTTTTGTGTCATTGAGGTTGTGTGTAGAACATTCTGTATACTTCTTTTATTCAAACTATCATTCGTAAGTTGTTTATTATCTGGAGCATCATTCATTAAACGTTCTGATGACCTCGTTGATAAGGTTGAATTTTTTAAAAGTATTTCTTCACCTGTCCAACCATCAACAGCTAACAATGCCATTCTATCACTGCTGTCACCCATGAATTGTTCATTGGTCATACCATTAACTGATGACCATAGAGGTATGTTACTAAATTTGAATGCATTTGAGTTAGCGGTGTTATCTCTTATCCTATGATGAGCCAACATTGGTGGACGTTGATTTTCAGTATACTGAAAATGTGAAGGATTTTCAGGATCAATTAAGTTTCTTGCTTCACTGGTGAAACCATATGATCGTGATACCTTATCAGAATCTAGAAGATTTCTTTTACGATGATTTGAAGATTCTGGTGTTAACCAAGCATTTTTCTTGTAAGCAAGATTAGGAACTAGATAAATGAAATTGAATAATGAGAAAATCTACAGCAACTAATACTCATTCAAATATAAATATCACAGATGGAAAACACATGTATGTCAAATTTTTACGAGTCAAAATATTAATAGGAGCTAAGAAGCAATACAAACACCTTGTTAATGCTCCTCTAAGCCCCTTAAGAGTTGCGGAATGAAGATCACGTTTCATAGTGACGTGAACTTTGATAAACTCTCATGTTAGTGGTCAGCTTCGACCTTAATCATTTCATTTATTGAGTCCATAGGTTTTTTAGAAAATCGCTTATGAAGTCGCTTGCACATTTATGAATACTCAAGCATTACACAGTAGGTATTCCCAAAGGTAAAGTCTGTGCCTTAAATAAAGTTCAATAGCATCCTAATTTTGGTTTGCTAAAGACACTTGTATTTCTATAGATACCCTACAACTTTTGTGTAAGAAATAAATCATCCAAATCACTTCCAAAGTGTATAGGCTATACTGCTAATAAAATGTCATGATCTTTGAGAGTTGTATTCTAAGCCATTTGTACGTGACAACCAGATATCCAGTGTTCAGCGAAATGCACTTTGTAGAATAGGAATTTTCCAAACTTAATCCAAAACAACTTGCAATATTTTTAATTATATGTCAGTTTACAGCTAGATGGATCAGAAATATACCATCCGATCATGCTTTTCACAGCTTGATTTTATCTGGATTTTAGTTAATTTATTAATTTTCTGTAAACTTGTTAGCATTTTCAGGTCTTCAGGTTCCTTCTAATTTTTCCCCATTCTTCGTATATCGAAGAACTATACATGGTTTATTGATCACCTTTCTTCCAGTTAAATACATGTTTTTATATTAATTATGCTACCTAATACATTTTTAGTAGTTAATTTCTTTCTCAATCATATGTAAGCAATAAAAATCATTTTATTGTTATCTAGTAATTCCATTTACGGGAATACCTAAGTTTGATTTAGTTATTATTCGTAATTACACCTTCCTAACATTTCTAGCAGTTACTTTCGGTTCTCTCACATCCATTAAAATTTTACTGATAAGTAAGAGCTTCCATTTTTACGTTACTTGTTTCCTTTTCGATTGCTGTCTTTCATTATGGTTATGATTCAACTACGACCTATTTATATTTTACCACACGTTTCATATGTAATCTATTCAAGAAAACTTTAGAATACAGATTTTATTACAATTTTATATTATTGCAGTAAACGACATAGATACTTCGCGAAGTGAGGTTTGTAAATAAAATGTATGTATTCTCATAAATACTGGGATTATATTTAAAATATACCTCTCGCATTTCACGCGTAACCTAATTATGCAATCAGAGGCTTTGAAAGGATTGACATGTTCATTAGTATAACGTGTAAATTCTACTTTCGTAATTTACGGAATAAATTACACCGTAAAACGTCATTTAATAATTTTCATAATTATTCAAACATTCAGAAGTACCCGTTGATGTTTAGGAAGTAAGAGAATTGAAAGCATAATAGTTTGGAATGAACCATTATAAACCACTTGTATAGATGGTATCATTATTGTTAAATGTTATTCAAATGTGAAAGACTAGTAAATGTAATATCTTTAAAATAATTTAAATCTAGTACAACTTACCACAAGAACTTTCATTGTTAATTCTAAAGAAACCAGCAGTACACGAACCTTTCTGTTTACATCCTAATAGACCAACACGCATTGCAATACGGCTTCTCCATATTACTGGATGTATACGTACATAACGTGCAATAAATGGAGTAGCCAAATAATGAATACGTTCAGTGATTTGCTCATTATTTCCATCAAATATCTTTAGTAAATCATATATATATATATATATGATTTTGTTTTATTCCAATATATAATTTGGTTGTGTTATAAATGTTCATAGGATGAACAAAATTATCAGAAAAAAAAATCAATTATTTTCCTCATAGTAACATTTTCATTTTGTCACGAAAACGAAAAAAAAGCAAACATGCAAAATTGTAAAATAAATAAAAAATTTTTCATTGATACACAAGAAAGCAAAACTAAGAAATTGAGCAGAAATTTAAATAAAATAAATAAAAAGCCATACACATTAAAATAAATACAAAAATGCGCGAAAATATATTTCAAATTAAAATAATAATAAACTAAAGTTTAGAACATTCTATATTCTCCATTTGAAATCTACATGCTAATTATTCAATATATACAAGTTTATAATAAACATCATAATAATAAACATCTACTTTGTGGTTTATTATCATTTACTTACAATCATATTTGAATTAAAATGTAACAATGAGGTACAACATAAGTAAATGATAAATAACCATAAATTATTATAATCAGGTCATATTATTCTACTACAATTATTGTATTAGCTTTATTTGAATTGATTAAATGAACCAATTGCATAAAACATCTTATTGATGGGGTCATTACTTTCATCTTTATATAGATTGTTGTGTTATTTAAGTATAAACGTCTCATAGAAAAATACTTTGAGATTGAATGTGATTTATCGAAGATGTAAGTAAATGTATTGTAATTTTTCAGAAAAATTTACTTAGTCTTTGTTCAGTTGGATCAAACATTGATTTTTTGGCGAGACTCTAATTTAGGGGCGAGCCAATCAGAAGCGCTTGAGCAATTTCAGTTATTAGCCAATCAGAAGACAGTTAGTATAAAGTGAAAACATATTATAAGAAAGTAATGAATTACAGTGGATATTCTTCTTTTACATGATTTAAAAACTTGTTAAGTTACAGAGGTTCTGAATTTATAATGCATATGGTATAGAAACTCGTCCATAGGGTTAGGGTTAAGGTTAGGCTAGGGTTGGCGTTAGGGTTATGGTTAGGGTTAGGTTAGGGTTAGGGTTTAGGGTTAGGGTTAAGTTTAAGGTTAGGATGCTAACATACGATCGGTTTAAAACGGATTTTAGAGAAGAGGTGTTTATTGAGAGGCTACAACCCTAACCCTATGGACGAGTTTCTATACCATATGCATTATGAATTCAGAACCTCTGAAACTTAACAAGTTTTTAAATCATGTAAAAGAAGAATATCCACTGTAATTCATTACTTTCTTATAATATATTTTGACTTTATACTAACTGTCTTCTGATTGTCTAATAATCGTCAAGGTCATTTAAGATTCGTTCAAAGGTCGTCCTTAAATTAGAGTCTCGCCGATTTTTTTTTCAATTTAACGTCTTATTGACAAAATTAGGAAAAATGGAATTTATTTTAATTTAGATTGTGATGATAAAAACCGTCATACATGGTGTTAAGTTATGAACAGGAATTACACAAAGAAAGCATTCAAGCGTGAAATCCCAGTATCATAATACTATTACATTTTGATAAAAAAACACGAGAAAATTGTTATTAAGTCTAAAAAAGCTAACAAATATAACTAAAGAATATTTTGAAACCATCACTGATCCAAAGGTTTCTAGTTTAAAGTAGCAGATTTTCTTGTCGTGTAGTATCTTTCAAACAAAACAACTGGATATATAACACATAGTAGTTTATCAGTTTCTTAAATTTAGGAGTGTAGTTACTTAGCAGTGCGGATCCAAGAGCCCACCCCCCGCGAGATCCGAACCCAGGACCTATCAGTCTCGCGCGTGAGCGCTTAACCATTACACCATGGATCGTAGATGAGCATTGCCGAGGAGTCTCATACTAGGACGAAACGGCTGTCCACTGTTTCCAAGTTCTCCATGGTGGTCTAGCTTCAACTGACTCATGATTTCAACTATTGAAATTTCTAAAAATCTCCACGAAACCCCTTCTGTTTAAAGATATGGGTTTATAGTGTTTAGTTTGTTTTAAATACAGAATTTAAATTAAAGCTTATTTACTGATGACTTTTGCTTATTCTTAAATAGCAAAGTTTATTCCTCGTAACAGTCAATATATTTCTGAATACATTGAAGGAGAGTCTAGTGTAATGAATAGGCCTATTTGATTAACACATTAAATGAAACGTTTAATTGATAACGTGACCCGAATTGATGTAAAAGTTTTATGTATCAACACATATGTACTATCATATATGATAATACTAAATCAATGTTAAACGAATTACCAGTTATACTTTCTTTGTGCCGATTCGGAATTCAAAGTATTACACACTGAGGTTCTTTATAAACTAAATTTATGTAATATAGTGATTATTACGTGAAGCAAACATAAGAGTGCTGATCGTAGCCTAATTTGAATTGCACCAACACTGAGATTTTAACTATTTGAACAATAATAATAAACCATTTGTCATTAGACCAGATATCACTTAGCGATTTATAGTAAAGTGTATATATTTCAACATAACTGATAAGTCTAATTAAACTAGTCTAGACATTTTTACAGGTTAATTAGAAATTTTCAATGATAAATTTTCATCCAACGTAATCCTAATTAGATCTTTGTAAATTTAAGTGAAAACATTCAATCTACTTATCCATACAGTCTGTAAGAAATAATTAACTGAAAAGTTATATTTACATGTTGGAAACATTTGTATTTTTTCTATTATGAAATCATATTGTAGTTGTGGTCAGAATAAGCTACAACAGTTTTACATATCAATCTTTCAGTTTTCAAACAAACTCGATAGTGAGTTTTTATTATTCTTATCATTTACTGAAATTGAATTATGGAAATAATAATTTAAAGACAATGCCAGCTATACTTTTGTAAAGGTTCAATATGAATGCTACATTAGTCAGTCTTATTTCTTAAAAAAAATAGATTTATGTTAATTAGTCCAGAAAAAAATGGTTGCTACATGATTTCAATGTAGCCAACAAATTAATTTGATTTTTTTTCATCAACAAAGCTAAATTCTGTTGTTTTAATGCATTAAATAAATTAGCTTTTCAATGTTCTGTTTATATGGAATATGAAGGCTAATGGAAATCAACTAAACTAAGAACTAAATCCCTCTGTATGAATAGTCAAAGACTTTACCCTACTAAAGTCAGTATTGTTTGTATACTTAAGATGATTGTCGAAAATATCCAGAACTCTCGAAAAAAAAGCCAAAAAGGCTCTGAAAATGTTAAGAAACATCTTATCCAATCAGCACTCACTAGACGTTTTGCCGGAAACATCTAGAAAGTGAAAAGTCACATGTTGAGTTTCTGATTGGGTGGCTACATATACTGCTACTATTTTTAGTGGCGTTCCTGAATTTTCCAGAAACCCAAGGCCATCTAAAGTACTATCAAAAAAACTCTAGATTTTCTGTACATAAACGAACATTTAGAGTAAAGCGTTTCTTTCATATTTCATGCCTTTTCTCCCGTGTTCAAGTTGCTCTATAGATTTAGCCTGGGGGTTACTAGAATAGCTTAGGAACTGAATTTAGCGTTCAATTAGAAGATTTATCAATAATAGCCACTTTTCACTCAAATCAGTCAGATAAACAATGTTTAATTCATTTCATTATTTTACACCAACATTTTCCTGACTGACTAATTATATATCCATTAGTAACTCATAGTTCAATGTTTTATAACTGCTTTCATCACTATTAAAATATTTAACCGTAAAGTAAATCTGTACAATTTTAATGAGTAATAAGGTAAAATTGCTTAACATATGCATCTGATGGAACTAAAAATATTGAAAATAAATATCCATTAAACCATGCAACACAACTAAAAAATATGATTGAACTAAATACAAAATGAAGTAATTAAGTAAAATGAAGAAACTTAATAAACATTTCGTATTTGAAACAGATATATACATGTATCTATATATATAATATTATAATTAGTTTAATGTGATTAAATATTTTTTACTTTATCAGATTTTATCTTATCATCTGATTCTTTCATTTTTTGACTCCATTCAAATGACCACACAGTAGACTTAAAACAAAAATAATAACAATTTTCATTCAATGTTGAATAACAAAAATAAAATAGTAACAAGCAAGAAAATAAGTAAATAAAATAAAAAAAATTAACAACAGCAACAAAAAAACCCCCCAAATAATAAAAGTTTTCATGATGGGGTGGAGATGAAAGACAAAGTGAAGCATAAACCATAAAATTATAAATGAAGATTTTATATGTTGATGAAATGTTGATAAACATATTAGTGATAGTGTATTGAATTCATGCGATAAAATAAAACACAAGGAAAAAAGAAAATAATTTAAATTAGTTAATATTATATATGAAAACTCATTTAATTAGTTTATTTCCTTTATTTTTTTCGTGAAAAAAAATAATCGGAATTTCTGACTTAGTACCTCAAAAAAAGGAATAGTCCGAGTTTATAAACGTATTCAAAAATTTTGGTAATATTATGTAATATGAATAAATTTCATGTACCTCATGTTTAGGTTTTCACTTAAATATCATATTGATGTCCGTGAATAAGGAGTTAGATATGTCAATGTTCTAATTATAACATATGATTCTCTTTGGTTGAACTTAAACATATAATAATATTGAGTAATAGGGAAATAATTATTAAGTGATATGCAAACTTAAGCATAGTTTAACTATCTTTTGGGAGAAAAATCATGAAATAGAACTTCCTTTTACTCGGTAGTTCTGTAGGATTGAAACAATTACTATTTAAGTTCTTTGATAGTACTCTCCAAAACATTGAAGAGTAATACACGATCAAGACAGAGGCGTAAATATTAAAGTTATTACAGGTCACTACATATGAATCTAAACACACGATTCAAACGTGTTTAGGAAACACTGTCAAGAAACTGTAATCTAGTTGATTTACCAACAACCTAAAGGCGACATTAAATAAAATAAACGGAACAAAACATTCATTTTATTTTCAACGTGCAATTTAAAAGCGTTTAAGATATCAACTTATTCAAGTTGTGTAAAAATATAAAAGTCAGACGACCACTGATATTTGATGTTTATAGGCTAAGTAGAAACTGTAAGGAAGAATGAACGAATATATAGCACCAAGTAAGATATGATTACTATGGTAAATGAAACAAGAACTGGGTAATTTATTTGTTTATTTACTGTATTTATTTATTTTAACTGATTCTAAATCATGTCGTCAATAGTGTTTTATTGAGTTAATGAGAACAATTTGAATTATTCTCTGAATGTACATATTGAAAGTTTTTATACGGAATATCAAACGTACAAGCATTATTTCTACAGTAAAAATGCATTCTTGAAAGAATGTTTATTTTGGCAGTAAATAAGATGGAACTTACTACTCACTACTATATACTATATAATAAATATAATAAACCAGAGAGACTGGTCAAAGACAGCGAAGGCAAGAAAATTACTGAAATTCAAGGACAGGGGAACAGAAACTCTTGAATAGACCAGCTCCATTGAATCCACCGTATAACGAAGCACCACCTATAGTCCATCCTATAGATGTCTCTCCACCAACAATCGGAGAAATCAGGATGGCCATCAAACAAACCAGGATTGCGAAGGCAGCAAAACCTGACAATGTACCAACCGAAGCACTGGAGTCAGACAAAGAGGTAACTGCAAGTATGCTCCACACACTAATCAGAAAGATTTGGGAAGAAGAACAAGTACCACAGACAGACTGAAAAGATGGATAACTCATCAAGATACCAAAGAAAGGAGATCTGAGCAAATGTGAGAACTACAGAGGGATCACATTACTGTCAGTACCAGGTGAGGTATTCAACAGAGTGTTGTTGAATAGGATGAATGACTCAGTAGGCCTCCAGCTTTGAGATCAACAGGACGGATTCCGTGAGGATCGATCATGCACAGACCAAATCGTGACACCACGAATTGTCGTTGAACAATCAGTTGAATGAAATGCGTCGATATACATCAACGTCCTTCACAACGATAAGGCATTTGACAGTGTGGATAGGAGAACAATATGAAACCTTGTTCAACACTGTGGTCTCCCTGAGAAAACTGTCAACATCATCCAAAATTCATACGACGGACTATACTGCAAAATCGTAAATGGCAGACGGCGGACAGAGGCATTCCAAGTGAATACTAATATCAGATAAGGCTATTTACTCTCCCCCTTTCTCTTTCCTCTGGTGGTTGACTGGGTTATAAAGACCTCAACAGCTGAGGGGAAGCACGGAATATAGTGGACATCTTGGATGCATCTAGATGATTTTCATTTCGTAGGTGACCTAGTCATTCTATCCGATACACATCAACACATGCAAGTGAAGACAGTCAGTAGCGTAGCAGCATCTGCACCATTAGGCCTCAACATACACATGGGAAAAAGCATGAACCTCAAATACAACACAGAGAACGCCAGTGCAGTCACACTTGATGGAGAAACCATGGAAGAGGTGGAATCTTTCACGTACATGGTCAGCATCATAGATCAACACGGAGGATCTGGTGCAGATGTGAATGCAGGCATTGGCAAAACAAGTTCACCATTGCTACAACTGAAGTACATATGGAACTCAAAATAATTTTCTACAAGTCAAGATCAATGTCAGAACCTTCAATACGAACGTGAAGACAGCTGCTCATATTGTAAGGAACTGAAACTCGGGGAACTGCTACCGTAACCTTCATGAAATTGGTACCAGGTAATTATAATCAATTTCCTGAATAAAATACTCACTGTCCATTGACTTGATACCATTAGCAATAGCCTACTAAGGGAGAGCACAAACCAGCTTCCATTTGAAGAGGAAATCAGGAAAAAGCGATGGAGATGGATAGGAAATACACTACAGAAATCCTCAAACGGCATAACGAAGCAAGCACTAACTTGAAATCCTGAAGGGTAAAGGCAAAGTTTAAGACCAAGGAACATATTGTGTCGAGAATTGGAAGTAAACATCAAGAGAACGAGGACCAACTGGAAACAACCGAAAAAGATTGTCTAGGTCGGAGTTCGTTGGCGAATCCTGGTGGACGGCATACGCTACTATACGAGAGGTAACAGGCTTAAGTAAGGTAGTAAGTATCTGAGACTGACTTGTATTTAGTTACACAAATGTTTTCTTGAATTAAACAGAAAAAGAATCTGATTATGAAAATTAACAATTTAAACAAAGCACGCTTTAAACACTTATTATCATCAAACGGAATCACGAAACAAGCGCTAACTTGGAATCCTGAAGAGTAAAGGAAAACTGGAAGATCAAGGAATACATTGAGTCGAGAATTGGAAGCAGACATCAAAGTAATGAATAGCAACCGGAAACAACTGGAAAGGATTGCGAAGGATAGATTTGGATAAAAATGCTGGTGGACGGCATATGCTCCTCCACGAGGAGTGACAGGCGTAAGTAAGTAATTAATCATCTGTACTCCGCTCTCACTTATTGATCAAAAGAAACTTACCCTAGGATCTAGAGGGGCTGCATCCTTGTAAAAGTACCACAGGCGTGTATCATTACTGTAAGAGAGCTTGAAACGTGTTACATATTGCGAATTTTTCACATCTCCTCGTGATTTCAGAATAACTCCAGTTATTAATGTTGGTGGGCCAACGTCTATTTGAAGCCATTGCAAGGCTGAATATTTTTAAAAGATGAAAGACAATATAGAATAAATTGAATTTTGAGTGAAAACATTTTTTAACAAATAAAAACAATTTTTTTAATTATTCGACATTAGTTATAACAGACTAATAAGATAGTTGATGTAGTTTGTTAGACAAGCAGTAAACAAGAGTCTGTAAAGTGGTTTTTTAGATAATAATGATTAGGCTTCCTAAGTGCTGTGTGAGCTCCTTAAAAGTTAAAAACATATGGAGAACTACAGACTCATATTGTTCATCAAAATTATAATTTTCAGAGTGACAATAAACAATCGAAATGATAGTGGTTTCAGTTCCAAACTCATAAGCAGCTTATATTTTAACTGATGTTCGAATGGTAATATCAGTAGCCAAAATTTAATATAAACGTAACAGAAGAACACAGAAGGTTAAGTAATTTTTAGTTAGTTAATGAACACATATATTATTTTCAATATGAGACTGTGGAGACTGTTGAATTTCATTGAAATCCCGAACTATTAGATCACCACTGAAAACAACGAACAGCCGTTTCGTTCTAGTATGGAACCCCCCATCAGTGAGAATCGGTGGCCTCGCACGCGGGACTCGAACCCAAGAACTTCGGTCGAGTGCTAAAGCTTGACCTATAGACTTCTAGTAAGCAACCGTGATCAGGGGAATTCAACCGTGTTGAATGTGAGGCAGTTGCCCACTGGAGATAACGGAAGATAGTCGCACATATCGCTGATTGGTTGAAGTTAGACATAAACACCACCGTATGTCGACTTAGTGGTTTAAAGGTCAAGCGTTTGCGCGCGACTGAAGGTCCCGGGATCGAGTTCTGCGTGCAGTATCGTCGATGCGCACTGCTAAAAGTCCCATACTGTAATGAAACAGCCGTTCAATGCTTCCAGGTTCACAATGGGGATTGGTTTATGATAATAATGAAGCACATATTGTTAGCACATACTATTAGGAATCTAGGATGTATGGATATTTACACTCAAAATATCAAACACACTAAAGAAAAACTAAGAGTTTAAAAAATTTGGCATTAGTATACATAATATACAGCGCAAGCTGTTAATTTGTTATTTAATTTAAATATTATGGAAAATTTATCATGTAAGATACATATATTTACAGAAACCAAAAGTAAATTTTTGTATTTTGTTAAGAGAAGCCACTTTGCTTCAGTATCACTTACACAATTCATTCATTGTATTACTTTTAAATAGTTCCATCTAAGTAGACATAAAATAATTAGAATCGAATCGAGCACAGATTATAAAACTATAAATAACCTGCTAATTATCGGTTACAGTGAGTGTCAGAACATCTAGAAATACTTACATGTCAAAATTCATGTACACTTGATTAGTAACACACTAATTAACTGAACAGAGCTATGAAAATAATCCTAAATTTAACTAAAATACATTCGGGTTTTTTAGAATTTCGTTCACGCATAAATGCATATACTGGTTCTGCAATATTCATTAATACAAATTCCAATTTTTGGACTTCTCAGTTGTTAAATATATATATATATATATATATATATATATATATATATATATATTTATATATATATATATATATATATATATATTGCTAACGATAGAGAAAAAAGACCTAGCATAGTATCATTGATAAACTACAATAAACTGAAGTGGTTACACCATAAAAAATGTTCATAAATAAAATGCCTGAATTTAAATCATTAGAAAAATTAGTTAAGTCTATTATTTTTATCAATACCTATTCAATGTTTCCCACTAAAAAAAGTATTTTTGTGATTCATAACATAATTGCATTTTAGTTGTATTAGAACTTGTAAGCTATTTTAAAAGACAAAACATGATGAGTAATTTCATGTAGGCAAACATTTTCAACATTGAATTTTAAGACATGATTAATTAAAATCAGGTGTGGTTTCTGCGAATATTATAATAATTCCAATAGTCGAGGTCATGAGTCAATTGAAGCTGGACCACCATGAAAAATTTGGAAACACTGGACGGCCGTCTCGTCTTAACATGGACTCCTCAGCAGTGAGCATCCAAGATCATACACGTGTGACTCAAACATAGGAACTTTGGTCTCGCGAGTGGACACTTAACCACTAGCCTACTGGGCCGTCATTCCAAGGTTTTAATGTCTAACTTTAATATCTAACTTCAGCCGACTCGGTGGTCTAGAGGTTTGGCATTCGCGCGCGAGACTGATAGGTCCTAAGTTCGAGTCTCCCGAGGCGGCATCATGGATGCGCACTGCTGAGTAGTCCTGCCTTTTTTGTACAAATAATTCTGGATTTTTATTTATTAGCGACATTTTGAGGAATACAAGATAACAAACGCTCACCACTAGTAAAAATGCTTCTAATCACCTAACAGATGACTCTGAATTAATATTTACCAGCTGTTTGATTACTGATAGTCTTTTTACTATACTGCTAAAAAATTTCAGCCATTCGGGTTTATTGTTCTTCGATAAACATCGAGTGACCATTTTACTTTAATTCAATAAATATTCATTAACTCATTAATTACTGTATCTATTTTGATTATAATTGACTGTGATTTATAATGTATTCAAGTTGCTTACGCAAGGAATAATAATTATTTAAATTTTATGAGCATTCAAATACAAGTTCAGCTTTCTTAAGAATAATGTTCTGTCGTTTCAAAATTTCGTTGCATATCTGAAAGTCTTTTTGTTTAGAGCTTCCGAATCATAAATGTCTTTAGAGCATGTCAGCAACATTGTCTTCTCAAATGTTGTATCGATTGATAACAAAACCTTGGTATTTATTTGCATGACTGTCTTTCATGTAAAAAATATAAATTGTTTCAATGTAAAACTGATTCATTAGTCTATGATTAAGTACTTTCTTCATGTTTGTGCTGTTAGAGAATTAACTCATATTTTCTTTTATATTCTTATCCGTCTGATAATAGCACTTATTATCCATTTTATAAATAAAACAGTTAGAATAAATTATTAATACGACGAATATATTATGAAATACTGCATAAATATCCTGATATTTGTAAAAAATACTTTGAAGTACTAGACTTAATGCATCCAGCCCTGGGTTTGAATCCCCCGGGCGAGGTCGTGGATGCACACTGCTGAGGAGTCCCACAATAGGACGAAACGGCCGCCTAGTGCTTCCAGGTTTTCGACGGTGGTCTAATACCAATCGGTTCATGATCTCAATCAAATATTTATCTTGAATATTGAAACATCTTTCCTGGTTTTCACTAGCTCTCCGACTGATGATAGTATAAAATGAAACGTAACTTCGAATTAAACTAATTTCCACAAGTGTTTCACGTGAAAATTACTTTGTTCCTTTTTGATTATTGAAGGAAAGATTTTCTGGGTATTGAACACCAGACTATGACTTTCGAAATTCAACCATTATCTGCAGTACAATAGATATCACCAATGAAACTTGACGGTAATCAAAATGAGTTTACTAACGTTGTCAATATCGATCTACATTTTCCAACGTTACATTCTATAGATATTGTTCATACGTGCCGTTGTTGTTTAACGAAGACTATAGATGAGCTCTTGTTAAAAGTTCATAAATTTGACCAATATCCATGCGTCTTCTAAACAATCTACTTTATATTAGTGTTATGCTCAAAGCCGCCAATCAAAAGCAGCGAATTATCGATCGGACCAAGGACGCGTAAAACACGTCCTGATTGGTCCTGCTTTCCGCCTAGCCCAGCCAGTTAAGTCCAGAACACCAGTGTCAGCCTCTGTAATATGAATGCTTATATTTCAAACATACTGAGTTTATATACCAATCAAACAGAGCACAACGCAGCATAAAACAGAAAATAACATTTGTACAAAATATGGCCAAATGTGGCTGTGAATGTGTGAGGTAGTAACTAATAGACAGGACATAATTCAAGAATGGCAAAACATATAATAATGGTTCATAGGTCAAAATAAAGCTTATAACAAGAAGAATATGAATATGAATAACCTAGTTATTTAACAATTATACGATAAAAATATACGATTAGTATTGGTTCATGAAAGGATCCCAAAGTTACCATTCATTATGTTTATCGGGACCTAACAATGAGACAATATGGAATACTGACTTTCAAATCTTATTTAACATCTAAAGTAATGAATACATTGATGTTTATTTCTTATTAACAAACTATTATATAATACACTGAAATTTTATTGATGAATCATCTACAATAAATCTTATGATTATGTAACTATAATAAATAATTTGAAACATGGAAAACATTTAAATGTTTATGTCATATATATTCAACATATTTTGATTCATTTCTCATTTTTTGATGATTCAAAGAGTTTCTCATTAGAAGAAAAAATCTACTTCCTTTCATATAATATAAAAAAAGGAATAGGAACTTGTAGACAATCTTTATTCAACTAATTTCATTTCAGTTTTGTGTGATATTAATTTATTTGCTTTTTCCTTTAAACATCATAATTTTTTCTCTTTACATGTGGAACTCATTAAAATGATATTTTTAATAGCACTAAACGAATGTATTCAAGAAACAAAATGATTTGTTGCTAGGCCACATTATTCTTACGTAATGAAGTATTTAAATAAAAAAATGTATAGTTTAAATAGAATAGAATGTAGAATAGATTAATTATTTAAGTTGTTAAGTTTTTCTCTTTTTTTCTTCTTCTTTTTCTTCTGGAATTAACCAGAAAAGAATGTAAAATTCATGCAATTTTATTCATTATTTTACACCTGTTAAGTCATTTAGTTATTTGTTTAGAAAGAAAAATCAAGTAGATTTATGAACTCTTCTTCTACCCCTATTTAAATTTATTTTCTTCTCTCAGTCACTCCCTTACTCACACACACACACACACATTCTCTCTCTACTTTTTTTATTGTAAAACAACGAAAAATTATTTTACACTTTATCGCTTAAGTAAACATATGTGAAAGATTGATGATCAGTAATGGATTGAAATGCATGACTTAAA